ATATAGATATAAATATAGATATAAATGTATTGCACAGGTCCCTGGCATATATTGCACAAAAAACGGTTGTGAATGGAAAAAGAAAAAGAAAGAACAGATCTAGCAGTAGATGTGTAGATGCGTTCAGTCCAGAAACAGGTCACAGTCAATGTTGCCTCTGCCCAGACGCAAGGTGGATGTGTTTACAGTCTTATGGCAGAAGGCAAGAATGACCTCCTGTAGTGCTCCCTGACAGACCATGGATGAATCAGTCTATTGCTGAACGTGCTCTTCATTTCTACAAACCTGTCATAGAGGGGATGGGAGATGTTGTCCATGATGGCCTCTAGTTTGGACACCATTCTCCTCTCAGCCACTACCTTCAAGGGGTCCAGATCAGACCCAATGACAGAGCTTGCTCTCCTGATGAGCTTGTTCAGCCTTTTAGAATCCACTGCTCTAATCCCAGGGCCCCAGCATACCACTGCGTAGAAAATGGCGCTTGCTACCACTGACTGATGGAACATATGAAGTATCTTACTATATACATTGAAGGATCTGAGCCTCCTCAAAAAGTAAAGTCGGCTCTGTCCCTTCTTATAGATGGCCTTGATGTTCTTAGACCATTCCAGTCTATCGTCGATGTAATCTAAAGGCATGCTATTTACAAACCAAATCACCCACATCACTGCTACTGTATCTCTCACCAATGAATGAAGCCTGTTCTAGCAAGGCAAGAAATACCACTCATTGTTCACAAATATTTGTTTTGCATTATAAGAAATAAGAATATATTTTCAAGTGTCTGGCCTATTCAATTACAAATTTAATGGCTTGAAATTACATTAAAGTAGTATCAAGACAGTATTAATGGTACATCATTATACATATAATGCAAAACAAATATTTGTGAACAATGAGTGATATTTCTTGCCTTGCTAGAAAAGGCTTCATTCATTGGTGAGAGATCCAGTAGCAGTGGTGTGGGTGATTTGGTTTGTAAATAGAATGCATTTGGATTCAAATGAGGTCACAGAATGAGTCAATGTTGTTTGTTCCGTTAAAACATTCAGCATAGTGATATCCAAAGTTACACATTGGACAAACAAAGGTTGTCAAATTATATACAGTTTAATGCAATAGAATATCCTTAGTTGTGCTAGAATATAGGTCTTAGCCTTTGTTAGCTTAAAACCACTCAAAAAGTACAGTATGTATATTTGAATGTCTTTAAATCAAAACAGATTGTGTGGTATCTTACTTAAAGTTTAAGATATTATTTGAGTTCATATTTTGTCAAACAAGACAAATTGATATTCTATGATATTCATAGGTCTTAGAGTCATTCAATAACTAGAAATTGCTTGAATCCAATAACCTTTCAAAACTCGTTGTTCTCTTTATCCCTTCTTCCTCCTTCTTCCGCCAAGCCCTTGTTCTTTCTACACTTGACTGCTGTACTGTAACTACTCTACTAGCTAGCCTTCCTGGTTCTGATCTTTTCCAACTTATCCAAAACTCCACAGCTCACTTAGTCTCTGCCTCTTTTCTCACTTGCAACACATTTTCATGAGCAGTCTTCACTAGCACTATTTCTGTTTGCATCATATTAGGTCCTTGTTTTTATGTACTCCATACATCACATCCATCTGTGTACCCACTCTCACCTTCCCCATTCATCGCCCTTTAATCACTTAGTTGTTGTTTCTTTTCACTCTCCTACCTCTTGACGTCACTTATTTCTCTCCTGAGCACCCCTACAGTGGAATGAAATACTCAGAAACATCAGGACTGTATCATTTTTGGTTACCTTCTTGACACCTACAGTGTCTTCTCAGGAGCTGCCTTAGTCAAACTGGAGATTGTCTGATTTAGTTTTTCAATTGTTCTACTTTTATTTACTAAAGACTGTGCTTTTGGAACTTTGTATTTCTGTTGTACATTGTTTAGCACATTATGAAATTATTAAATATAATATAAAATGATATATTTTTTTCAGATTTACATTCTGCTCCATTTTTCATTTTCAATTAAATGATGGGTGGTACAGTGACATAGTGTTTACAATTCTTGTCTTGTGGCGTCCTGTGGTGTTGTCTGTGTAGTGTTTACATGTTCTTCTAAGTTCATGAGGTTTGTTTTCAGTGTGCACCAGTGTTTCCCACAGTTCAAAGACATTATGATACTGTACTGTGAGTGAATTGGCTTCTGTAAAAACTGTCTATAGTGAGAATGTGTTTGTATTTGTGTCTATTGTGCAATGCAATAGATTGGCATCCTGTCTAGGGTGTAAAGCAGTTTAAATGGGATATGATGGATGATAAAAATACTACTTTTACTATTACTACTATGTTACTATACTGTGTAGCCAGGTTAAACATTACACATTAAAATTACTTTTAGTAAGAGATGTAATGTAAAGCCAACATTATATCTACTATGGGTGTGAAAAAGATTTAGAGGAAGGCATACTGGGTCACAGCAGAATTAGGCTGAAGAAGTTCAGGTGGTTAGCTGCGTCAGCATGCACAGGCTGCAAAGGAACAAGTAATAGGTTTATTCCATGGTGAAACGAGAAGAAAGGAAACACAACGTATCGTCTCCCAGTTGATCCAGAGGATGTCTGGGTATCCAATTCCGTTCACACCCAGGCACTTCAGTTAGAGAGTGAACCTGGGAGACTGCGCTTACTGTGCATGCCTGACCTGGTCTTGGAGAACACTTCCCGTAAGGGCGTGTGCCTTGAATCACTTTCTCTACTCTTTGCAATTGGGCCCTCTGACTGGACTACTGTGTGGGGCTCACCACCTCAGTAAAACCCCTTATCTCAATAAAGACCTTGAGCACTAGCACAGCTGTGCCTTGCCAATGTATGCGCATCAGCCTGTGGGTTTCCCAGTCTCCACCCCTGTCTTACACCACAAAAGACCAGGGACTAAGGCGAACAGATTTCAGAGACGTCTGCTCTTTATTGTGCATAACTCGTAACTGACACAGAATGGCAAAAACCCACCAAGGCACGAAAGTAACGTAAAGCGGTAACCCCCAAACACAAAGCACGGCAGTGTTTTAAACCCCAAACAGACGCTGTACGCGACACAACATCTTTCCCCTCTTCAGAAAATGAAACAAACACAGTTCTCCCAGACAGTGAAAAGCACCTCTGGAAGTAGGGCCAGCAAGCACCATAAAAGTAATCAAAAATCAGTAATAAAGTCATTAAGCCAGGCTGGTCTAGACCGGACCGTGGCTGGCCTTGGAGAAGGAGCTATGGGTTGGTCTGCCACAGGAACAGATGGCTCCACTGGGATGTCGACATCACCTGGGAGCCCAGCAGGGGCAGCCTCAGCCTCCACGTCAGGGTGTGTGGGCGCTGTCACTCTGCGGAGGCAGCTGGCGTGCCATTGTGACCCATCAGAGAGGCAGAAGGTGGTGGGACCCAGATGCTCTGTGACCTGTAAAGGAGAAGACTGAAAAGACTGGAGCTTGTGCTCCCGACTGGGCCTTCATATCCGGACCCAATTCTGGATTGCGACCCCAGGCGGCTTCACCCTGTGCAACCTCTCATATTGCCTTTTCATGTGATGCTGGCGTTCGGCCACCCTGCTGTGGGTGCAGCCGGTGGGGTTGGGGCTGGGTACACTCGAAACCTCTCCAGGTGCATTTGTAGCTCACGGCTGAGCGTGAGGAAGGCTGGTGAGCCGCCTGTCGTGGCATGTT